TTGAAGGGGACAGGTGCCATGTCAGAAAGGTGCCCAGCGGTATGCTGATGAACCAGAATGGAAAGAAATTACATATTTGAGCTTTAGGATACTTGTTTGGTTTTACTTCCTTTTAAGAAAAATGTGTGCATAGGGCTTGTTCAAGCTTGAGGCAGCATTTGTTCAATTGCTGCCCCAAACAGGAACATGTACTTAAAACTTGGCTTCCTTTCAGCATAGATTTTTGAACCCTCTTTTTCATCTGAAAAAAACCAAGCATGAATGGGGATGGAAAAGTCTTTTAGATGATTCCAGTGATGAGTTATGCAGACATTAACAGTGGTTGTTGTATGGCTGGCTGTACCACTAGCCTAGCACTACACAGGGTTAGAGGCTGGGAGACTGAAGTCAGCTGAGCCAGCCAGGACTTCAGGGTTGCATCTTTCCCTCTGCCTGTGCTCACATGCAGTGTTGGGCTCCTGACCCCAGCTGTGCATCCCACTACTGGGCAACACGAGCTCTCCTTGTTCAGGGATGTTGCAGACATAGGAGGTTCTTTGTTTCTGTCACATCAGAAAGGTAGTAGTGGTTGTATGGAACTGAAGGGCTTTGGAGTGGCAAAGAAGGAAGATAGAGGAAAGGAGCTGTGTGTGACTAGCTGGGAAGCAGTTAGCTTTAAGATGTATGTTTGTGCATGTGCAAGAGCTGAATATCAGATTTTAACCTTTTTAATTCATCTTAAGCTTGATTTAAACAGACTGCTTTTGTGTCAGGCAGTATGTTTGAATGTAACATGGAACTTGGGACTTCCAGCTGTGGTTAGTGATGCTTGGTGTCACGCAGTAGCCTGCAATAGGAGAGCTTCTGCAATAGGAATATGTGATGAAAGAGGCAGACCTGGCTCACTGGCACGTGTAACGCTGCGCTTGCTCCACAGCCTGTTGTAGCTGCATCTCTGCTGAGCTTAACCTTTGCTCTGCAATTCATTTCAGCTCCAGTGCAGTGGTTTCATCTGTCTTGAATGCACTTTTCCTTCTTCCTCTGAGATTTTTTGGCTGTTACAAGCACCAGCATGCAAACCTTTTTGTGTTCACTTCTTTGCATCTCATTCTGTGAAACCCTTTAGATTTTTTTTTTATTGTTTTGTTTTCCATGATTGGTATTTCTTTGTTCAATTCAGGTTAGAATTGCCCCTACTGTCACTACCTGGAGTAACAAAACTCCTACTGCCCTTCCCAGCCATCCTCCTGCAGGCTGTCCCTCTGACACACAGGTATAACCTTCATTATTCCTCTCTGAGACCCTGCTCCACCCCAATACATCCCCTGGTGTAGTCTGTGTGCTTGACACAGTCTGGTATGGATAGGCAGAAGGAGCAACTTCCACGTGTGCTCTGGTTTTGCTCCTCTGCATCTCATGTTGCTACTTTTTTTTTTTTAACCAATGCCCACATGAGTGGCTCTGGAAAGCCTTGAGTGGGAGCTCAGTGTGACCTGAGCCTCGCCAGCCCTTGCCCCCCCCCCGGAATATTTGAAGTGTGATGATATTTTTCCTTTCCCTCTTTCCCATGGAAATTAGAAGCTTTGGAGTTAACATTTAAGTTGTTTAGTTGAAAGCTGTGCATGGCAGGGTGCTCTCAGACTGCCTGAATAACAGGCAGCACTGGCAAGGACCTCTTCCTTGTGTGGGAAGGTATGTGCTGCTCTGCTGCTGCTGAAGTCACTGCACATACAGGCTGTGCTTTCAGTGTTACGCTGGGCGTCCTAAGGCACTGGGGTGGTTGGAGGCATTTGCCGCTGTGCTGGTGGCTCTTCCAGGGAATGTGGTTTCAGGTCTTGAAATGTGAACTGATCATTTTGTTACGGTTCTGCTTCAGCACTGCATTACTGTTGCTCACTAAATCCTATCTCCCCCTTCCCTTTTTCCTGCAATCTTGTTTTTTACAGGGAGACAACCCACCTCCTCCAGGGTTTATCATGCCAGGTGCCATTAATCCCAACATGCCACCGCAGCAAGCCACATCTTCCAATTACAGCATGTACTCACAAGCAGGGGCCCGGCAAACGTACCCACAGAGTGAGTAGCAGCAACTCCCCTCTCCCACCCAGGTGGGCCAGCCAGGTGATGAGGCCACATTTACTTGGGGATAGCCAGTCTCCTCCTTGGGGTTGGGAGGGTTCAGACCAAGTCAGTCCCGCATTTCCTGGGGCAGGGGAAAGCTTGTGAGATGACACCTGAGGATTGTAATTTCTTGGTGGAGTCCAGACATCAGGCGCCCTCTGTCAGACATTGTCCCCTCTGCTGAGAAGGTGTCTGCCCACAGCTCTTAGACTCACTCCTCAGCTGGCCCTTCTCAAGGGTGTGCTGGGATCAGAAACCCCCTAGTATGAGTCCTGGAGAAGCAGCACAGGCCTGGCAAAGAGGGACCCAGCTCATCTGTGTGTGTCTGGGCCATCCAGTTCTCATTGGGACTCCATGAAGATGGGAAAGGGGATGAGGAGAGAAGGGCAGTAGTAGAGGTGAGTGAGGAAGGGGGCAGAGCACTGACACAAAGCAGGGGACTGAAGTTACAGGCACCAGGGAGGAAAAAAATGGGCATAGCTGGGCAGAGAAGAGGCAGTGAAGTTAAGCTGCAGGGCCCACAGTGAAAGGCTGTGAGCTTGCATTCGCTTCCAGAGATTGCTGTTCACTTCCTTGGCCTACACTTTCCCTTTGTGTAAACCTGGGGCAGGAGTTTCCCTTCCCTGAGAGGCACTGTGAGGACTGCAGTAGTCCAGAAAACAGCCAGAGCAGCAGCACCCATGTACCCCAGCTGCACCCCAAGTGGCATGGTGGCTCTGAGCAGGAGAGTCTGTGGGGGAGAATGGGAGTCGTTACAGCCAGGGCAGTCCTTTCTCTGCCTCCCCATTCCCAGTGGCAGGCTGAGGTTTTAAGCAGTTCTGCAAGTGCAGGCAGAGTTGTGGGACTCAGGATTTGGCTGGGTAGGTAAGTAGTTTGAGGGGGAAGGGGCAGGAAGAAAGGAGAGTCAGGTGGAAGGAAGCAGAGGCAGATGAAACCTGCTCCTCTGTTATGAACTCACTGTCTGAATGTCTTTTCTCCCTATTTGTAGCATATCAGGCCACACAACAGTACTCTTGTGGAACAGGGGGACCAGCTCTCTATCAGCCTCAGCAGCCTATCGCTGTCCCTGCTTCAGCCTCTCACCTGAACCCTGCCCCTAACACCACCCCTCTCTACCTGCCCTCTGCCCCTGCTCACTCTGTGCCCTCTCCGCTGTACCCTGGGCAGCCTCAACCCTCCCCAACAAGCCTGAATCCCGTCTCTTCCCTCCCTCTTCCTCCTTCTGGCGCATCCTTTCAGCATGGCAGGACAGGACCTCCAGCAACTTCTGTGGCTTATACGTTACCTACTGGACCAACAGGTACTCTGCCTGCAACCAGTGACCTTCCTGCATCCCAGAGAACAGGTCTGCGCTTGGATTGGGGGGGGGGCAGGCAGGGAGGGGGAGGGTTTTGCTTTCTTACGCATGCAGTTAAATGTGCACCTTTTCCTTGTGAATGCTTTGTACAAAGTTTGCTTGTGCTTAGAGATCCGTTCAAAGCATTTCTAAAACACATCATCTTCCCTGTGTATCTAGCGATAATACGCCTGAGTTGCTGCAGTGAGCACTTGCTGAGCAGCATGAGCAGTCATCTTTCTCTTGTGAGTCAGATCTTGCCATAAACACAGACCTTTTGTCTTGCCCAAGACAGGGTGCTACAGCATTGTCTTGGTATGAGGCTTTCATATACTATAGGTGGATGGTGGCACAGTTTTAACCTTGTGAGGCTGGCATCAAAACCTGCTATGTGGCTGGAAAGCAAAATACAAAAATGAGCAAGTTTTCCTAATTGCTGCAGAGATGATGATCCCAATTCTCCTTGCAGAACAATTTTGCAAATATAATTTGTTCCTGGTTTGTGAGCAGCATTTCAAGCCCGGGATTGGCAGCATATTTAATTTAAGCAGCATTTCCTGTGGCATCAGCTCACTTTCATTATTTTTTTTTCCTAACCACTTAGTGCAATGGGATTTACTGTAGCTGTGAATGCCTTAAAAGAGAATCAGAAGTGATCTGGAAATGCTTTTACATGTCTCTTTCCTTAATGTTAATCAAAAGCATGTGTGTGTGGCTGCCATGTAAGAGCATGTTTGAGCATGCATGGTGAGAGAGCACGCACTGAGGTGCAGCTCGGTGTCTCCTTGTGACTGCCTGGATGTAACTGTTTGCTGTGGGACAGTGACTTTGCTTGCAATAACAAACCTGACTCTTCACTTAGCAGCCTGGGAAACAACAGCTTTGCATATGTCAGACTGCAGGCAGTATGTGGTCCTTTTCTAAACCTGGCTGTAAACATACTTCACATCCTGGTGGTCCAGCTGGAGAGTCAAGGACCAGATCTGGGAAGCAGGGAGCGGAGAGAATATTAAGCAGGATCTGAGGGATGTTCCAGGGATGCTGACCCTGCTGACAGGCCCTAAGGCCTGTGACTCCCTCTCTTCTTTTAGAAGTCTGTTAGGGGTGATGCAGTGCAGAAAAGGCATAGTGCCTTGTCTTGGCAGCAGCAGTCTTAGGAGTAGGTGTTCCTGGCATCCCTGAGGCTGGGAGCCCACACCTCTCATGGCATTGCCTTCACACACACACTTGTGTTTTGGGGAGGAATGGTCTTTTGCTCCTTCAAAAAACAGGGGGGACTGGTGTAGGGCAGCTGCCAGGGCTGCAAGGGGAGAAGAGGCCTTTCCCTCAGTCCTGCAGCCAGATTTGGTATCCTCTCTGTTCTTGGAGATGCTGTACTGTGACCTCTCCTGACCCCATGTTATGGGTCATGTCAGACTTATATCTCTAAGCCAGAGGAATTATGAAATTGGACAGAAGAAGAGGTGTTGGATAGGGTTCTAGGCCTCGGATGTGAAGCAGCACTTTATAATGCAGACAGCATAGCTTCTGCACCTCCAAATAAATGCAAGGAACAAGAAAATTGTTCTTTCTTATCCGTTTTACTACTCACATCACTGGCAGGCACTTCAGATGTGTCACTTGGTAATTTTCTTGCATTAACAGTGAAGTGACATAGTCCATGTGGCGTGCTCAGAGCAGGTGAAGCTCTGTACTCTGGACAATAGAAATTAGGGACATTAATGACAATACCAGCCAATTTCTAAAATTGTGTAATCCACATAGACAGTAGTCTAACACATCTTGCCTGTGTCATTTTAATATAAGGGAAATTGAAGCAGTCGTTATCCTCACTGCCTTGCCAGATTTCCTTTCAAAATGTGGCACAGGAGTGGGCTGTCCCCATGTGCCGTAAGACCAACTGGCAGGGAAGACAAATGGCCTGGCTGTATAGGGAGCTTTTGCGGGGACTCGGGGGAAAAAAGGAGAGTCTACCACCTTTGGAAGAAGGGGCAGGCAACTCAGGAAGAGTACAGGGACCTTGTTAGGTCATGCAGGGAGGAAATTAGAAAAGCAAAAGCCCAGCAAGAAGTTAATCTGGCCACTGTTGTAAAAGATAATAAAAAATGTTTTTATTAGTACATCAACAATAAAAGGAGAGCCAAGGAGGATCTCCATCCTTTGCTGGATGTGGTGGGGAACATTGTGACCGAGGACAAGGAAAGGGCTGAGGTACTTAACGCCTTCTTTGCCTCTGTGTTTAACAGCCAGACCAGTCATCCCCAGGGTACTCAGGCCCCTGAGCTGCAAGACAGGGATGGGGACCAGAATGGAGCCCTCATAGTCCAGGAGGAAGCAGTTAATGACCTGCTACACCACCTGGATGCTCACAAGTCTATGGGGCTGGATGGAATCCACCCGAGAGTACTGAGGGAGCTGGTGGAGGAGCTTGCTATGCAACTTTAGACGATCGGTCAGCAATCCCGGTT